GTATATGTATATGGCTCACAGACCCGAATAGCATTCGGGAGCTACCAAATGCTATTCGGAAATTAAAATCCCGAATGCCATACGGGTCTAGGAGATTCAGCTTCAGTATTAATATCTGTATATGGTTTTCTGTGTTATTCGGAACGAATATTCATAAACTCATCCGAAACTGACGAAAATCGGGATTTCGGCAGAATCTGAAACCCGAATCGAATTGAATTTTGGTTCCGAATTCCGAAATCACAAAATATCTGAACCGAACCCATTTTTTCTGCAGCTTACATGTCTAGTCAATTCTACAACACAAAATTACTTTTATGGTAAGGCTGAAGAAATAACAAAGGATTTCAGTATAAAACTATAGATCCTACTCGTCATCTGGAGGAACACCAGCAGATCTAGGTGAGTTGCTCTCAGAAGCCTCCAGCAAGCCAACAGTCAGCAGCTTATTGACTTTCCTGATGTACCTCCACTGAAATAAATGCTGACCATCCTCTGACCCTTGACAGAATTATGAGGTGTGTGCTGGAACAGCAATGTGTTTATTTTGCCTTCTAATGAGCACAGTTATGGTTCCCGGTCAATGTTCGTAAACATTAAAAAGGGATGGTGAGCTTATTATCACAGCTCCCTCCCTGCCTGGCAGGTACTGAATCTCTATCCATGACTTGGGTTTGTGAGGAAGCGCTCCTGACTCGTGGCATTTCCTGTTGTGAGATCTTATGTCTATGCCTGGAAGAGAGGAGAGAGATTGGAAACATCAGGAATGAAGAAAACACACAGAAAGAAACAGTGGAGAATATCCGTCTTTCATGTGCAGTGAAAGCAAATGGAATAATGGAGGTGAAAGGGCCAATCCACCCACAAAAAAACCTGGCTGTTCAGTTAAACAATGATTGAATACTCCCCTATATTAAATACAATGGGCCTCCCTATTAGGTGCATTTCTGGGTTAATTAAACTTCATGTACCATGCATGGCCCCTTAAAGCCGCTTTGGCTTTGTGTACCCGTGCCATAGACTAATGTTTGTTGTTTGTTTGGATGATTTATATTTATGGATTCGTTTTATTTAAAACCAGATCTGTCATGGCTAGGTGTAATTGTATGGTTATCGTTATGTATTCTGTTAAATATCTGACATTTTGTGGCGTAGAGACAAAACATGCCATATCATAGAACATATAGAGGGTTATTCACAAAGCTAGCTAGTTATTCACATCCGTAGCTCCGGCTGATCTTTCGGCTAGCTACGGCCGCTGGAGCCCTTCGGTTCAGTCGAACCAAAGGGCTGCTGTATGGGCTATTCACTATAGCCCGTACAGCTCCCGAAGGCGGCCGAGTGACTCAGCCGAGCTGAAGGTATATGCTTTGGCTCGACTGAGCAGAATAGCTGAGCCAAATGCCGCTCGGCGGCATTCATCTATTCACTCACTGCTGTTCGGCCCCAGAGCTTTGGCTTAGCCGATGCAGATGTTGGATCGGCTGAGTCGAAGTCCTTCTACACTTCGGCTCAGCCGAACATGCAGAGCATGTTCGGCTGACCGAAGTGCAGCCGAAGGCAGCCAATGTACGGCTGATTTCATCCGATGAGCTGCTGAAATCAGCCATACTTAGCCATAGTGAATTGCCGAATGTTGTTCGGCTCACTTCACTACGGCTCGGTTATTGACTCAGTTGCCTTTGGCAGCTTTGTGAAAAACCCCGTTAGTGCGTTTCGTGTTACTGTTTACAATCCCATTTTTTTACATAGCTAAGGCTCCATTCACAATAAGGGCTTGATCAGTACTGTACAGGGAGTGAGCGTTGTTATCCTTGGCCAGGATGTGTGTTGCTCACAGGATCACCAGAAAGCCACGTGTTTACTAAATTCAGAAAAGTGTAAAAAAAAAAAAGATAATATGGTGAGATATTTTGAGAATTAGAGATCTTCTAAGGCAGGGGTGGGCAACCTCACCTCCAGTGATATAATAATTCTGATCTTTAATAAAGAGGCTCTTCTATGGGCAATTCATAATATCTCAGTAGCTGCACAGCAAAGGTTCTGATATACACTGATATACACATAGCCAGTAGAGAGAGACAGCTGTAAAATGCCAGCAAGAATGTTAACATATTGCATTAATTTTAGGTAAACATTACAATGAAAACTTGTTACAATGTAAAATGTACTTACATAAAACCTGTACTCAGACAATATGAAAGTGTATCCTTGCTGCTCCATATTTCTCACAGCACAGCTTTCCAGTACGAGTAAAACTGATTGTGCAAGAATTATTTGGCTGGAGTTTACAAGTGACCTCTTTCCAGAATAGGACTTCAAAAGTTATTTATTACAGGAATGGAATGTACCCATGAGGACATTAAAGTATTTAATTTTATTTTGTCCGTGACTTATCATGCAAACTATTCTAAGGAGAGGAACCGGGATTGTGAAAGGATGTGAACCAGCTCAAACGTATCTTATTTAAGCTCAGTGATTTGTAGGTTTACAGTTGTGTCTTCTGTCTGGAGCGGTCTGTTTCATCAGCACAAAGTGGTTTTCAGGAATAAATAGCTCTGATAGCCAGGCTGACCAATGTGGCCAATCGGAGAATGCAATGCAATCCGGGTCTATCATACAACCCAGGCTACGTGTCCAGAGCTGGACTTACCCTTAAGCTGCCCATACACCTATAGACTATCTGCAGATTTTCTATGGTCAGATGGAAAATGTGCAGCAGATTCCTCCATCTATACTAAACTGTTTTGATGGAGGAATCTGTTGCACTTTTTCCATCTGACCATAGGACATCTGCAGATAATCTATAGGTGTATGACCAGCTTTAGGCACACTAAACCTTTGCCTATAGGCAGCAAAGACAAAGACAAAGCTTCTTCCTGTATAGTCATAAGACAAATATTTTTCCTATCATAGCCAATAATACACTGCTCTCACGTTGTCACAAGATTCTAAGCCAGGTTGGAGTGAGTACAACCAATAAATAAAGAATAAGGTCTGTGTACCAGGAGAGGTGATCCTAACAGAGAGCCCTGCCTGCGTTCAATCTTTGCTAAGCTTAACAACATCCTGTTTTTTTTGTATATTTTGTTGGATTAGTTAAATTTAAAAGTAGGGCTATCCCTGCAATGGGTTAAGTGCTTGTTTTGTTCTAGAGTAAAGAAAAATAAAATACATTAAAAAAATATATACAGGTGAAACTCGAATAATTAGAATATCGTGCAAAAGTAATTGCAGTAAGTGCTGCAAAAGGGGCCCAAACCAAGTACTGAGTACATATGCCTGCTTGTACTTTTCAGAGGTCCGATATTGTTCTATGTACAATCCTTGTTTTATTGTTTGCATGTAATAATCTACTTTTTTGAGGTTGTGGATTTGGGGTTCTTGGGGTTTTCATGAGCTGTAAGCCATAATCATCACAATTATGACAAATCACGGCTTGAATTATCTTGCTTTGCATGTAATGAGTCTATCTCATATATTAGTTTCACCTTTTAAGTTGCATTAGTGAAATAAATGAACTTTGCACGATATTCTAATTATTCGAGTTTCACCTGTATATATAATTTTTTTTGGGGGGGGGTCACCCAATTCTCAGTCCTAGACCCCACAGTTTCTTTTTTTCCGGGCTCCAGAAGTCTAGGGACCTGTGAGGTCATCAAATCCATTCATTTGCATTGGAAATTAGAGTACTGAGGCACATTCTACAGCCGTAGCGAAGGGAAATAGAGGTGAGCGGTCACCGCTGCTGGACCGAGGATCGGGTGAGTATAGCTTTCTTTTTTTAGAACCTAAACCAAAATGAGCTACTTTTTAATATGCCCTGAATTCTTCTTTAAGCATGCAAATATTAACTACTGCATACGAATGGAAGACTTGATGATGATTATGATGATGGTAATGGCGATAATGCTTGCTAGCAATGAGATAACCCTCTACCATTTAATTACAAGTAAGGACAGGAGGAGGAAGAAAGCAGTCATGTAACTTTGATAGGTCATGTAATGGAGAGCAGTATCCAGCATCCATTATAAATAGGGACTATAGTAGTCCCGTGTGCGTAGTATATTTATGCGTAGTGTATAGTGCGCAGTATATTTATATACTGCATTCTGTTCATTACCACAGGGGAAATTTACACCCAGGTGCAGAGTTCAGCCTAACAAGATAAATTATAATAGCAAAGGTACTTTAATTGTGTTGTTATAGCATATCTTAGCCCAAGAACCAAAATGTATTACATTGCGACTTACCAATCCTAAGGCCCGGTTCACATCTGCATATTCCCGGGATGCGCATCTCGGGAACACGCATTTGTGTGCACCTGCACACCGCATTCGCCGTGCGACCCTATTGATTTCAATGGGGTCAGATCCGTGTGGCAAATGCGGCAAAAAGGCTCCTGCACCTTTTTTTGCAACACACAGGACTCATTTTTTTCTCCTGCATTTGTGCGGCAGAAAACTGAGATTTGCCGGCCGCATTTGGAATGCCATTAGAAATTATTGACACCACAACCGTGTTTCACGTTTGTGTACATTCCATACACGCATGATGATCGCAAACATGAACGCACAAATCGTTCTCGTAACGCCCAGGTGTGAACCAGGCCTCAGGTATGGTGGCTGCATTCGTTTCCTGTCAATAACATGCTTCCAGTTCTAGGGTGACAAAGCTTACTCACCATACAATGTCAATGGCAGAACACCCCCACCTCTTTTATTCTGTAGTTCACAAGACAGGTGGGAAAAATATAACTGATAACAGTCAGCACAGACAAAGGGCACAGGAAGTTCACAGGATTGTGGTGGGATTAACAGGTAATTTTTGTCTGAATAGGTGTATCAAAACACTTTTCAGTGGTATTTAACAAGGGAGCAAACAGGATAAGCTCACTGTTGGAGTTTACATATACTACGGCTGTATTAATCAATGTTTACAAAGCGTTCAGCGTTTTATTTGCAACATTCCTTATTCCTTTTTTGTATCCTTCTGGACAGGATGAAGAGGAAGATGGTCTTCCCAAAAAGAAATGGCCAACTGTAGATGCTTCGTACTATGGGGGAAGAGGAGTGGGAGGCATAAAAAGAATGGAGGTGAATACACATATTCAAAGGGTTTGGGTGATCTAATATTATATAGTTCTTTATTAAGTGATGTTATATGTGTAGGACTGTGCTTGTTTTTTTTTAGTACTACTGCAATGTTAAAATATTTTATATGCTGGTCTGGAGACCTTGGCTTACATCAATAATAATTGATGTAACAATTGTTGTTTAGTGCTCTCAAATGTGCTGTACTATCTAGATGCAATATTCTAATTATTCGAGTTTCACCTGTATATACATACGTATATATATACTGTATATATATATATAATTTGTGTGTAAAATATTTTATATGCTGGTCTGGAGACCTTGGCTTACATCAATAATAATTGATGTAACAATTGTTGTTTAGTGCTCTCAAATGTGCTGTACTATCTAGATGCAATATTCTAATTATTCGAGTTTCACCTGTATATACATACGTATATATATACTGTATATATATATATAATTTGTGTCAATTAGAAGTCAAGTGCAAACAACTTATAT